GTAACTCAGTGTAATACAGTGCAAGATCAAAGACTGCTACCTCATAGCACAATGTCCAGTCAGTCAATGCATCAATCTGGAATAATCTACTTAGCTTAAAAACGACATTGCCGAACAATTTAAAAGAGTTTGAGCTCAGCTTTCAGAAGTAAAAAGCCCTTGAAGTGTTGGCTTATTGCAGGTTTTGTGCAACAAAATGGCTTAATATTGGTGTCTGTGTCCGCTGAATGCAGGTTTATTTTCCAGTAAATTTAGGAAGAAAATTTTGGGACTCAGGCTGGTGCCCACTTAATAGAGGGTGTCCACTTAATGTGGGGTCCACTTAATACAGGTTTCACTGAATTCAAATCATCAGCTTGCCTAAAAATAGCTTTATAATCTCACTATTTGAAATTGCTTATGTACACAAGGGGTCTTGAACATCCAGCTTCATCATGGAATTTTTATTTATTTTCTGTGTCTGGACATTTTAAAACATGTCCATGTAACTTTTTCTACTGGTTGATTCCATCATTGTAATGTTTTACTGTTAGTGTACATCAAAAACTGGTGTGATCAGTAATCTGTTCAAACCCAGTATACAGCATATTTCCATCACTGTTGTGTTCGGTGAGCTGAAGTGAAGCAGTTAATGTATTTAAAAACGCTGCCAGGAACAAAAACTTTATTCTGGATACACCACTCAAGGGAAAATCTACTCAATTCAATGGATAAAAAAACATCTAGCAGTTAAAACAATATTAGGTCATCACATGCAATAATTTTCATTAAAGAAGATAAAATTAGATGTTTACTTGCATTAAATAAATTACAAAAATAACATTTTTTTATAGCATAAACACCACTGTGATGAATTGCTACATGGAGATGAGCTTTCACATGAAAACATTATATCTTCACATGTGAAAATAAAATGGTATCTTCACAAGTAAAACATCACCATTGCCATGGTTACATGATGAATCATACTTTTCAGTGCAAAAGTGAAATGGTTTAGTATTTAATTGGTTTTTATATAATAAATAGGACATTACATGGCCACTTGGAGATACAAAATTTCTGTTATTGTGTTGAAAAATATTTCCCTCGTTTGCTGCACTCACTCATGAAATATTTTTCAACACTCAAAGAGAAATTTTGTTCCTCCACATGGCCATGTAGCATTCTCTGTGTATTTAACTTGTAGTGCATTTAAGCATGCATACAAATCAGTGACCCACAAACCTTCATTTTCATTTTCATTTTTGTTCTCACTTTTGTCTTCTGCAGATGCCTCTTGGGTTTTTGCCTCTTGGGTTTTTGCTTCTGCTCTTTTCTCTTGCACTAGCTTTTCTTCTGCTTTTACTTTACGTGCAATCTCTTCTGGGTCAGGAACACCTAGTGATGTCTCTACTGTCTCAATAACAGAGGACAGTCCTGATGTCACAGAAGCTGTCGCATGGGAGAGCATTGAGGTCCAACCTCCCCATCCCCACCCCCCACCAGAACTTGAGGACTCTTGAGCTGGCTTCTCTGCTGAGCTGCAAAGAGAGAAGAACAACGTAATCAGAATAGTAAATAATTAGGGCTGTCAATTTAGCACTGTAACCTGTAACACCTGTTATGACCGAGTAAGTCTGATGGGCCCATCATGCTATGGGTGAACTTGCCTGTAGTTGATACAATTCACTCAAAAGGTAACAAGTTTGTTTTGGATGTGAAGATCAAGACTACAGTTGATTCAAAACTCAATGACATCTCTGATAAGTTAAAGCTGTTGGGTATTCAGTCTTTCAATTAACATGCAAACTAATGTGGTGGAAAGATAGTTAAAGCTCTAAAGGAAGTGTTTTGCTGGCTGGCATTTTTCCTCGGTTATGTGATAGCGAGCACTCTGATAGCTCAAAAAAACCGAGACTTTTCAACTGATTTTATAATTCGCTCTGCCAGTGGAAGTATTGCATATCTCAACTGTGTAACGGATGTCATAATTTACTTGGTTCAAATGAAAGACTTTCGCGAATTTCTAAGGAAACGTTTGCCCAGAAGTGGCGATGGACACAGCCATATAATCATGTATGGAGAAACACATTTGCTCATGCGGGCAAGGCTATGTACAGAACTGGAAAAACGGACAGACCTCGCCCAACACTTTGAAAAGAATACTGTGTAGCGATCTCTATCCACGCGTAATTTTTGAATGACAGTCTTGTTAAGCTCCTTTTGAGGTTATAAATTTATGCAACATGAGTAAATTAAAAAGCCTGCATACAAACCAAGTGGCTCATCACGCCGGAGTTTATCTCGGTTTCTGTAACATGCGAGCGACTGGGAGTATTTCTATAATCCTCCCTGGATGGGATGCTAGTCCCTCGCAGAGTTACCCCCACCATTAAGTTCGCCGGTACCCATTTAAACACCTAGGCGTACAGAGGTACTGTGGCAGTAAAGTGTCGTGCCCAAGAACACAACACAATGTCCCCGGCCAGGTCTTGAACCCGAACCACTCGATTCAGGGAATAGCACACTAACCATGATGTCACCACGCCTCCCAACTAGAGTAAAATAATGAGTAGTTATAAGGAAGTGGATAGAGTGAAAAAGTAGCTTGTTTGTGTCTTGTTTTGACTATCATCAGTCCTAGCTCTCCTCTGAGAGAATAGGGCCATAGGTTTTGACTGTAGAAGACATTTAATAAGTTCCCTTCACCTTCGACAAGGATGAAGACGCGATGAACTAATGGCATATTGGACTCGGGATCAACAGGTCCAGATTTAAGCCATGTGTCCGGGTTCATTGTGCTAAGTCTTGAGCAAGGCACTTGACATCGTTTCTCTCCATCCACGTGTATAAATGGTAGGTATAGGTCAATTAAAACAAGGCCGGGGTAGCCATATGATAAACTAGTATCACATCCAGGTAGGTGTTAGGTGTAGCTGTATTCTCAGTCGCCCTATGCTACTTATCGAGGAGAAAAGCAACGGTATTTATGAGAGACTTTGTCTAGCAGACTTTACCTTTTACCCTGTGGGCTAATAACTCTGCGGCGCCGATTTCCCTAACACTAAGCGATCAAGAGTATTTCTAATCCTCCCCCTGAATTAATGAGATGTTAGTTCATCGCAGGGTTACCCCCAGTATGAATAAAAATTCGCCAGAGTCCATTCATGTACCTGGTTGGAGACAGGCAATGTGAGAGTTAAAGTGTCTCACCCAAGAACACAAAGCAATAGCAAACATTTAAATTTTCCTCTTTTATCTGCAATTGATGCTTTAGTTTTTGCACATTTAAAAATGAGCCATGGCAAGTGCTAATGTTCATGTTATTCACGATGAACTTATCATGCTAGACCTGGATAAACATTTTAAAACTTGACACTAACAAGGTGCTTGAACACGACCCCAGGAAATACTGAAGTGATGTCTCGACTGGTCAAAACCCCAAAATATTTATCCCATTCCCAATCTTGACATTCTTTTTTCCCATTCCCAGTGACTTAAATCTCAGGGCAAAATTCAGGCCAATGCCAGTTCCCATTCCACCCCATTCAGGACCCTCTATCTTCGTTGCTCCCAACATTTTGCTATGCACGTGTGGATCCTTTTATGCAGACCAGTATTCCATATAAGGAACCGTTGTTTGATTGACGGAATAGTCTATTGCAAAGAGTGTTTTGATTTCGAAGGTCGCGTAGCAGTGAAAACAGTGTTTAATGCTACCTGACTCGAATCAAACATGTTAGTTGCGGAAGGATCATGGCTTCTCTTTGGAAAATGAATGAATTAATAAATGAATGAAGTCTTCATTGAAAAAAGTCAGACTCAGCTGAGGCGAGACTTGACAATCGTAATCTATAAATATAAATTTAAAAAGACATCTGTTCATTAACGTGTTTTTTTTTCCTCTCAGTTCTTATCTGAGAGAGGTAATGCTCCTTTTTTACGAGTGATAGCGTAGCTAGAATGAGTTATAGCAGTTACTTGGGGAAGAAATAATGAACAAGATTAGACCTGACTTAACGGGCTTTAGCATGCATAATGTATAAGCCTACAAAAATCGACGACGGGAACTGGGTAGGACCCTGAAGTTGCTGGGGCCTTGGTCCCAACAAGCTATTAATCTAGCGCTGGTAAGTGGTGTAATGGCCAGTAAATTATTGGACCACAAACAAAACAACACAGTTACAGGACAAGAGAGATCGACCGTACCTAAAATATTTTATTACATTTATATTTGAATCTGAAAGATAAATGTACGAGTCCCTGATTACTTATAGCATACCATGTGCGATGGCGTTTTCTTTGATTGAATTTTTTTCCCGTTTTATCAAACAAATCGAGTAAAGAAATAAAACATTTGCTGGACAGGCTGTCCCGTTACAGGTCTTTGGTGTGCTTGTAATAATTTGAAGACTTGTCATTTGGCGGCTACTGATGAAATTTTAGAAGCATTCTTCTCATCAAGAGATGACAGTTGCAAAACGGGACGCAACAGTTTTAGCGAGTTCCGCAAATAGTCAGCACTTGTTGACGAATCGAGATACAATGTCGTTATCAGAGAACTGACCGAGTCCGGATTGTCTGAATCGTCAGCCGCGGTGTTCAAACAGCCCGCAAAGTGCGTCGCCATTACGGAAATCTCCTCCAAAACCGCGTCTGTCATTTTCCGCACGCACTGCGCACGCACCAGGGACGACGTTTCCGCGGCTTGCTCCGCCTGGTGAAGCAAAAGTTCCGTAAACTTGTGAAATAGTTCCACAGTTCGGGCTGTGAGCTCCGCCATACTTGAAACGGCTGTGGTATAAATGTCGACTCCGTCCTTGCTCCCTGGTGTATCGTCCTGTTCTTGAACACATGCTGCTGTCCATTCCCTTGCTTTTTCCTGAGACGTGACGATCTTGTCTGCTGTAAGCGGCAGATTGAGCGACTTGACGTTCTCTACAACTTCGGATTTGAAGTCTAGTCCTTCCACTTCGTCATCCGTGTCGTTTTCGTCGATGTGAAAAACTTCCTCCACAGCGCGTAGAAGAGGCTTAACTCCACTGAGTTCGTCTTCTGTCAAATCGATAATGCAGGACTCCAGCTGATAACAAAAGGGAAACAAACGCGATTTTGAGATCAGTAAGGCCAAATCTGCATTCCAACCTAGTGAACGGTTTCCGTAACATGTATCCACTAGGCGTATTCCTACATCCGCCTCCCCCCTGGTGGGATACTTGTCCATCTCAGCGCTCCCCAAACATTCTTATTCACCGGTAGCCTAGCGTGGAGAGGTACATGTATGGACCACTTCAAAGAAAACAGTACCGGAACCCATTCATATACACGGCTAGCGAGAGTTGCAGGGAGATTTAAGTGTTTTCCAAGAACAAGACACACTGCCCTTGGATTTAAGCGCAAAAAAAAAAAAAAAAAAAACATTGGGTCAACGTGCCTTCAAAAATGATTCCAACAAATTACTTTCAAACTCGCGAAACGTGGCAACATGTCTTGAAATCCCTAGAAACAACGCACAAAATCCATGACTTTGCTGCAGGCTTAGTAAACGCAAGTCACTCTCCGAGCATACCCTATCGAGATACTCGAGAACCAACCTGAAAAATTTTATGAAATTTAACAAGGCAGTTTTATAGTGCCTGATTTGTTGTCGCGTGGTTACGACTTCTCACAACCATTCCATTTTGATCCAGTCAGAAACACGGACTTCAGTACAGCTACGTCATCAGTCTATAATTTTTCGGGTCGAGGTCCGTGCTCTCCATTTAATGTGATTGTTATACTTTGTAAGGGACGCGTGAAATGCGAGTAAGGCTAAAACCTGGTCCACTGCCAGAGAACCGTTTGGTTCTTAGTAAATTTGGAGGTCAAACTGTTTTGCTGACAGAATAAAAGTGAGAGAATCACAACCAAATAGCCTGCTTTGTTTTCTTTTATACATGTAGACTAACTAAATGTTTGGGTTACCAACACATCCTATGGCAACACCTGTCATATATAAAGGAATCTCTACAGACCTTGGCTTCACTATCACGTGAGAGCATCTCCAGTGCTTCTAAATGAGATAGTCCTTGGAACTTGTCAAACTCGCTAAACAGGTCTATAGTTGCTTTGGTCCCCTCAGGTGCAACTGTAGCTTTTTGTTCCGATACTTCCTTGGCCTCCTTTAAAACCTGACCACAAAAATTGTTTCATTTTAGTACCCTCAAACTCGAGTTGATAACACTACTGTTCATGAACAACAACGATTGCTGATCTCTTGAATATCGCAGCTCTTTTTAGTTGGGGAAACAAGGGCTGTGTTTTGCTGAGCTGGAATAGGACGTGCGATCAAGGCTTTTCTTAAAGTTTTTAGACCATATCCTGACTGCAGGCTCAGTCTAGTCTCAGATGCGTTGACTGATATTTCTTGATAGGTACATAATAGACAAGTAATGCGTACAAACGCCTATGTAGGTTGTACCCTTAACCTGCATTTCACCCCCATGTGCATGGAATTTATACTTGATACTTGACTATAGATGGATGTTGGAATAATGACATGAGCTATCTGAAGTAGACTTTCTACAACAACAACTATTTCACTGTTACATGTATTTTCTTAGGCAACTCTAGTTAAGTTGACCATGCAGAGCCATAGCCAGAATGAGGCAAACCAAGGCACTTGCCTCAGTCATTTTTTGTCTTTTCATTTTCATTTTACCATTTTGTTGAAGGGGGAAAGTAAAGTACTGGTAAATACTTAGGAAGAGAATTTAACCATGGACTTTGCCTTAGTCCTAATTTTTTTTCTGGCTACAGCCCTGCCATGGCTTCTTGACAATTTGTTCACAGAAAATTAAACTCAAGCTTTTAAATATAATAGTTTATCATACTATAACAACAAGGCAACTAAGAATTTTACAGCATGAGTAGTTATGCCAGGTTAACATCTTGAGTGTAGGTGGTTAAACCAGGATAATGAGCAGCGACCCCTTACTAGCTCACTTTGCTCACTGGCTTGCCCTCTTGCATGTCGAAAACGCTGCCTATGCAAGAAGAACTAAACATGAAACCTGCTCATAGGCATTGTTACTGGTAACAAATACTTAATTTACAGGAAATGAGATCTTATGTAACAAAACATCTATATAATATTACACTGCAGAATATAATATTTAGTGAGTGAATGCCATATTAATTGGATTTACCTGTGAAAGACTTGGCCCTTTTCCTGCAAGTTTTTCCCTCTTTTGTCTCAACCCAGGATCCCCTTCAGCTAGGACATTCATTGTCTTTTTGCCAATGAACTCCAAGGCGTCTAGCCCACCTGACATCAGCTCTTTGCCAGTACTCTGTACCACACTGGTCAAGCTTGACACACCAAACCCAGAGAAAAATGACTCACCAGCTGCTGAAAGGTAAAAAGGAGCATTTAAACATGTTGCACATTTAAGTTTAAAGAAAGGAAATGTCTGTGGAGTAAATTTGTACAATGAAACCTGTATTAGGCGGACACCCTTAGGACCCTCACTAGTTTAAGCTTAATACAGGATGTCTACTCTAAACAGGTTCTAATATATTGAGCAATAATAGTTAATTATAAACAGGTTCTAATATATTGTGCAATAATAGTTAATTATTAACCCTTTTGTAACTCAGCGTAATACAGTGCAAGATCAAAGACTGCTCATAGCACAATGTCCAGTCAGTCAATGCATCAATCTGGAATAATCTACTTAGCTTACAAACGACATTGCTGAACAATGTTAAAAGAGTTTGAGCTGAGCTTTCAGAAGTAAAAAGCCCTTGAAGTGTTATCGGCTTATTGCAGGTTTTGTGCAACAAAATGGCTTAATATTGGTGTCTGCATCCCGTTGAATGCAGCTTTATTTTACAGTAAATTTAGGAAGAAAATTTTGGGACTCAAGCTGGTGTCCACTTAATAGAGGGTGTCCGCTTAATATGGGGTCCGCTTAATACAGGTTTCACTGAATTCAAATCATCAGCTTGCCTAAAAATAGCTTTATAATCTCACTATTTGAAATTGCTAATGTACACAAGGGGCCTTGAAGATCCAGCTTCATCATGGAAATTTTAATTATTTTCTATGTGTCTGGCCATTTTAAAACATGTCCATGTAACTTTTTCTTCTGGTTGATTTCATCATTTTTATGTTTTACTGTTAGTGTACATCAAAAACTGGTGTGATCAGTAATCTGTTCAAACCCAGTATACAGCATATTTCCATCACTGTTGTGTTCGGTGAGCTGAAGTGAAGCAGTTAATGTATTTAAAAACGCTGCCAGGAACAAAAACTTTATTCTGGATACACCACTCAAGGGAAAATCTACTCAATTCAATGGATAAAAAAACATCTAGCAGTTAAAACAATATTAGGTCATCACATGCAATAATTTTCATTAAAGAAGATAAAATTAGATGTTTACTTGCATTAAATAAATTACAAAAATAACATTTTTTTATAGCATAAACACCACTGTGATGAATTGCTACATGGAGATGAGCTTTCACATGAAAACATTATATCTTCACATGTGAAAATAAAATGGTATCTTCACAAGTAAAACATCACCATTGCCATGGTTACATGATGAATCATACTTTTCAGTGCAAAAGTGAAATGGTTTAGTATTTAATTGGTTTTTATATAATAAATAGGACATTACATGGCCACTTGGAGATACAAAATTTCTGTTATTGTGTTGAAAAATATTTCCCTCGTTTGCTGCACTCACTCATGAAATATTTTTCAACACTCAAAGAGAAATTTTGTTCCTCCACATGGCCATGTAGCATTCTCTGTGTATTTAACTTGTAGTGCATTTAAGCATGCATACAAATCAGTGACCCACAAACCTTCATTTTCATTTTCATTTTTGTTCTCACTTTTGTCTTCTGCAGATGCCTCTTGGGTTTTTGCCTCTTGGGTTTTTGCTTCTGCTCTTTTCTCTTGCACTAGCTTTTCTTCTGCTTTTACTTTACGTGCAATCTCTTCTGGGTCAGGAACACCTAGTGATGTCTCTACTGTCTCAATAACAGAGGACAGTCCTGATGTCACAGAAGCTGTCGCATGGGAGAGCATTGAGGTCCAACCTCCCCATCCCCACCCCCCACCAGAACTTGAGGACTCTTGAGCTGGCTTCTCTGCTGAGCTGCAAAGAGAGAAGAACAACGTAATCAGAATAGTAAATAATTAGGGCTGTCAATTTAGCACTGTAACCTGTAACACCTGTTATGACCGAGTAAGTCTGATGGGCCCATCATGCTATGGGTGAACTTGCCTGTAGTTGATACAATTCACTCAAAAGGTAACAAGTTTGTTTTGGATGTGAAGATCAAGACTACAGTTGATTCAAAACTCAATGACATCTCTGATAAGTTAAAGCTGTTGGGTATTCAGTCTTTCAATTAACATGCAAACTAATGTGGTGGAAAGATAGTTAAAGCTCTAAAGGAAGTGTTTTGCTGGCTGGCATGAGTAAAGCACTTCTTTGGTCGCCAGCAATTTTGAAGTTGACAGTGAGAGTCACCTGCCAGGGTGAATTCAAGCAGCTGATTTTTAAAGTTATTGGCTGAAACCATACAGTAAATTTTCGAAATCAGCGCCTGTGACGTCATCTAGCTGCAGATTATACAATAATCATGTCAAGGACACTCAAGGTCATGGGTAATCATCTCACATATGACCGCGATGCATGATTTCTAAGGGTAATTATGTCAAGTTCGTGTGCTTTGTGTTACTTGCTGCCAATGAAGAAGCAAAAACATGACGTCCATTTTTTTTTTTTGTTCAATGTATAATAAAACAATTATTATTAGATTCGCGTTTTGTGATATCCAGAATAATCAAGGTATCGGTTTCGGCTTCAGCTGATAACCCCTGCCTCGACCTTAATTATTCTGGATATCACAAAAACCTCATCCAATAATAACAATCTTGTAAATGGGAAATTTGCTCTGAAGAACTTAAGATGGAAATGTCAGCTTTACAAATTTGCTTCTGCAGTTAAGGTTACTGTGTACCTTAAGAGGAGTCTTGTGTCCAAGTGGTGTAGTGTGTCCGGTTTAAACTGTAGATACCTGAACCCCTATTTCAGATTAAAGCCTAGAGCTGGCTATCAAATTACAGTGAGAATTTTGAAATTAAATTAATTGTCAATTTTTTCACAACCTCTAAATGCTGACCCTGCCAAAAGATCTGGGCCACTCAGCTCAAATGCTGGCTTGACATTTAGGCCTGGTTCATATGTTGCATTTCTGCCATGTCGCACTTGTGTTGCACTTAATTCAGAATTTATACTCTAGGGTATGTGGGTCAGTGGAAAATCTTTTAAACGTAGCGTATTCAATATGGTGGATGAAGATACTGAGCGATGAGGGATTTTTCGAAAAATTGTCGGCCAATGGAACGAGATGGAGAAAGCTGACAATGCATCAGTATGTGTTTCAATATTTTCAGTTTGCATTGGGACAAGAATGGCCAAGATTCTTCTTTTTCTTTGGTGGGACCACATTTATGCATGCTCATTACATTAACATGATGTATGTATGAGACTTGACATGGCAGAAATTTGACATTTGAATCAGTGTCACATTTCTGTCAAATAATGCAACAAGACCAGTCAAATGTGCTGCAGATTGGTGGCAGCTGATTCAGACATCGAATTTCTGTCAAATTTAATTCGTTAAATCGAATTCCACATGGCAGAAATGCGACGTATGAGCCGGGCCTAAGCGAAAAGCTAAATGCGCACCCCCTACCCCTAACCCCAAACAAACTGTGCAGATACCCATGCACCAAAACATTACCTGTCAGGCTTGTCCTCGACTTTAACATCAGAAGATGATCCTGAAATATCCTTCAGCTGATCATTAGCTGAATTTTCAGACGCTTCCTTTTGTCCATCGTCATTGCTCTCTCCTATAAGCTTATTTTCCTTAGCTACCAGTTCATCCTCGTTTTCTGGGGATTGTTCCTCTCCAGCACTCACTTCCTGTTTGTCTGTTTCAGTATCGCCATTGTCTTCCTCAATTCGTTTAGTCTCTATTTCATCCTCACATACCTTCGTCGTAATATTTAGCTGATCAGTGTCTTCTTGTGTTTCACTCTCTGGCAAAGGCGAGTGCTCGCTTATGATGGAGGGATCTTTCTCTACTGTAGGGTTTTCTACCTCGTGTTCATTCTCACTCTCTACTGTATCACTATCCATTTTTGTATTTTGACTCCTTTCTGCTGCAGTTCCAGTTTTTATTTCCTGTCCTGAGGCAACCTGACTTGTTGGCGACGCATCATTCTTGCCAACCAGTTCTGTCAACGTGGAATTTGCAGATCTAATGTCAGCTGACGTGGCGGATGTCGGCTTCACACTTATAGAGGCTTCTTCTCCTTCATCCGCGCTCTCGAAAGCTTCTTCTTCGTCGCTGCTTCCTCCTTCTGTAGCTTTGTTTCTTGAAACCTTATCCATGTAAACATCCACAAACACCGCAAGAGCCAAATTACAAAAATTCTCCCATGAAAGTACAGCACTGTTTACACCGAGTACACCAGTTTGTTGAGCACTGTGAGACTGAAAAGACTGGGTCCCAATGTTGTTCACCTCACAAGGATAATCCCGCGCACCCGCAACGGAATAGCCTGTCCCGAGGGAGTTCCCTGAAATTTTCGTGGTTCCCAGGTGTTGTTGAAAATTTGTGATCATCGAAAAGCGGGCGATGTAGCAAGAAAACACTTTCTGCTTGAAGTTGCGCCCATTGAAATTAAATTGAAGCACGGATGTTTTTGACTAAAAGTCTCTAGGTATAAGTGCGTGAGTCCTTTGGCTGACCCCCCTTAGCCTGTCGCAGACGCAACCAACCATGCATTATTACGCGTAACGAAACTTTCCGTCTGTGACGCAGGCTAACCGCCCCCCGCCCCTCCCTGGTAAATTGGCTCTGACTGTCCAGAAGGAATTTTAGTGCAAAAACTGAACTCCTATGGATCCATGGGATAGGTTCAGCCCGATAACAGGAAAAGATGAAGCCAGTAAATGAATAGTTTGTCTTGAAAGTTTCGTATAAGACGCTAGAGCAAGAGTGATTAAACAGATTAAACGGAATCACCCAATCGGTTCCAGAAGCCTTTTGACCCGTCTCCCCGAAGTATCTGGTGATGAGAATTTTAATATCCTGTCTAGAATTGTGAGTTTTGGCAGAGTGTAATTACTTCTTTGTATGAAGACAAAATTAATTATTTAAAAAGTTGACCTTGAATTATGCTGTAAAGATCATGCAGCGGCAGAAACGGCTGACAGGATCGAATCGTTCAGATTCGATTCAGATTTGCGGGAAGCTAAGAAAGTAAATATTCCGAGATCATGAACATACTCGATCTATCAAAACCATTAAAAACACCGGAGAGAAAAGAAAAGCAATTTCCTGACAACTTTGAAAACAATTAAGCAACAGTTAACTACGAGAAACCTTTTCAAAGTAAATGTTACAATGCAAATGGACGATTTATAAAGTTTACATACTTTGCTTCATTAGTGCCCTCAAATAAACTCACCACTGATTAATAGAAATTATATGCCGCTTGTTATTGACTAGTTAATAAGCGCATTATTTATTTCCTTATCAAAGAACTCACCGGCAGCAGATCATTCCAAGTCATGCCATCTTTTTATTATTTATATATGTCATTGCGGTATCTTTATCAGTCAAAGGATCGAAGACAATCAAAAACTATCATCCATGAATGCTTGATGCGAAAAAAATACTGAGGTTTGGTTTATGCAAATAGCCTGATATTAAAATTTGCGGAGGGCTGTGAAGAGATGTGATTTTTTACTGCAGTGAAAGATTCTTATTTGGACGAAGGCAAAGTGAAATCTGAGAAATGAATCTGCTCCAGTGTAAGTAACAATGATTATTTTATATCAAAATTTAAATATGGCAGGAGTTTTAGTGATATCTTGGAATTAACGGCAGGGTTTAATTTTAAAGTGTAAAACCAGTTCGCCATATGGCGAAATTCACACTCCACGGTGTTCATCCTGTATTTAGGAAAAGGCTGAAATCACTGTAATGATTATATCTTTCTGGAAACAAATGAGTTTTTGTAATATTTTGTAGTTTTGTAACGTTGTTGGCTTTGTCGTTAGCATTGCTTTAGTAAAAGTGTCAAATTATAACGAATAGCAAAATACATTTCCAAATTTTAGACGATGCACTTAGGCAAATCAATTTGAACTCGGCAATGTTGAAAATTACTCCAAAATTAAACTATTACTGCGGACTATTAATTATTTCAAAATTGGATTTCAAAAGGATTAAATGTAGGTTTTGTCGAAAAACGTACAGGAAAAATGTGAAAACATTTTATGAAAATTATCATTTTGAATTGCATACCAATAAAATTATCACCTGGTGGACGTCAAACATAACATGCGATTTTCTCGAAGAAGTTGTTTCTCTTTCCCCGAATTAAACAGATTTGTTTTTTTTAAAGGTTCAGAGAGGAGTGCAGCTGATTAATAGATGACCGGTGTAAGACAAAAATTGGGAATGGAGCGAAAAAATTCGTTCGAAAAAATTTCGAATTACTGATTAGCTATCGTTTCATGAATCTTTCCGCAGAATATTCAAAGCTGTGAAGATATGTACAGGGATTCCTTTGAAAATCAAAAAATTACATCAACGCCCTTACAGCTTCACAAGGCAATTAAGTAGTTATTGTTCACAAACAGTTATTACCTATTTTGCTGTAGGCATTTTGCATAAACAGCTGTTTTGAGGAGCAGCAAACGGCGTAAACGACGGTAAGCATTTATCAATTTTGTAACGATAAAATGGCAAGTAATGTTACGTCTGTTAAATAGAACCCGACCAGACGACCTCTCAAGGTGTCGCATAGACGGTGAAACAAGCTCTGTCGGACTACTGAGCTGGTAAGGGGGGAGAAGGTGTCAATGCCCAATGATGGAATCCCTACAATTTGATAAGGCCTATCCTGAAACCAAGCACCAAACCACAATTTATCGATTTTTAGATTTTTTTTCATTTTCGAATAATTTTTGAAGCACCGTTTGTTTGTGACATATTTTGGCCCGCCCTATTCCTGAGAGCTAATGCTTGATGGACTTTTGTCAGCGAGTGCTGACACAAAATTATTACCAATTAAGTATGTTTTTTAGCTAAAGTTGACGACACTTGCTCATTATGAGTGGTTAAAAATTCTTATTGTAGAGTGAAAATATTTCTCGCTTTCCTCTGTTCAAAGTGATACATTAGGTAACCATGACACCTCTTATATTATGCTCATAATGTTTTGAGTGCGCATGCGCAATGACTCCTATAATACACTTTTTGTCGGCACCACAAGTAACAGCATTAGAGTGCATACACGTCATTTGGGGACTTGTTCTAAAGCAGCTTAAAGTCCGGGGGGACTGCCATATGAAAAGACCCGGGGTGCTCCTCGGAAATTTTGAAAAAAAAAACCTCAAGAGGTACCAAGATCCTGTTTTGTGGGCGTGGCTTGAAATTTTTTTCACTCTTGAGAGGTACCAATTCTAAAACAACACATTATCTCCTATCGTAATATTTCGGCTCAATACCCTCAAAGGAACGCAAACAACAAGCAAAAATAGACAAAGGTAGAGGAGATGTAGAGCCAACCACTGTTGAACCAACACAAAATTGTCATGCGTCGAAAGTTAAACATTTCTTCAATTTCTTTTCAGCTAAAAGCAGGAAACATTCCAGACAGTCATGCAGACCTCGTTCGATAAAGCATGGAAGTATTCACTGTTCATGAAGAACCCGAAAGAGCGCGCAGGAATCTTTTCACGCCTCTTCTTTTCCTGGATGAACAGTTTAATGAATATCGGCAGCAGACGAGTTCTGGAACACAGCGACTTGTACCCGCTCCTTGATGAAGACAAATCGAAAGGCCTGACAGAGAAACTCGAGCAAACCTGGCACGAGGAAATACGAAACTCGCACATCAAAGGACGAAAGGCGCGGTTGTCCAGAGCGATGATGAAAGTTCTACCGTGGAGTGATTACGCGCTAGCGAGCCTTTCTCTTTTTATCGGCGTTGCTTGTAACGTTTTACAGCCTCTGTTTCTTGGCCTTTTGTTATCCGTACTGTTGCATTCTGGGACTGTGCGACAAGACCGCTGGCTGTTTACTTACGCTGGCGGGCTCTGCTGCAGTGCGTTGTTTCGAGTGCTGGCCATGAATCAGTATCAAAGCAAGGTGGATTATATGGGAATGCGCTGGAGGGCGGCAGCTATTGGTGTCGTTTATAAAAAGGTAACGATAAAAAATGAAAATATAGTAAAAAGATGAGCTATACAAGACTTCCTAGTCGTCCCCTATCCTTCCTCATTTTCCCCCTCCCCCATCTCCCACCGCGTAACATGGCGGTCTAACATGGCGGTCTAACATGGCGGTCGCAAGGTTGTAACGCTAATTCGCCCCAATAAGACGCCTGCACTGCAGGCTAATAATCTCTATGAAAACGTTTTAGCAAATCCCAACTTCGTTTCCATGACCCTTTCCGTCAAAACATCCACGCACAGTTGGTTAGTTTTGCCATGTTTTCTAAGTCTCTATGTTCTGTCTTCTAGATTTTTAAGTTACGTCTTAAAGACCTCACGCGAGTCCAGCCTGGCCATGTTATTGCTTTGGTTACCCATGATGCCCAGCGTCTTGATCAAATCTTCCAGAAAGTGGGCTTCATTCTGCAAGGGCTCGTAGAGCTTGTTACTGTGACGGCCCTGATCTGGCGCCTTATTGGGTTCCAGGCGGTGTCTGGGATCATTTTCCTGATCTTTCTGCTGGCCTATTACATCGGTATGTGGGATGTTTGCATGAAGCTGCGACTGCGCATTGCGCGCTGGACCGAGCGGAGAATGGGAATGATGAGGCATATCGTGAGCGGAATCCGCACCATTAAGATGAACACGTGGGAATGGCCTTACAAGAACAAAGTGCAAGAAATACGGAGGTACGAATAGCGTAATAAACTACAATATTATCAACTAAAGCTACAATTCATAAAAAAAGGATTTCCACTGCACTTTTCATTTACATCGAGAAAATGAACTCCTCCAACAGCCGCCGAGTATCCCATGTCAGCAGGCAACCGTCCATAGAACTTAAAGATTTGACAAAAACATAAACTTACATTTTCTAACGAGTCCTTTCTGTTTAGTGACGCATGTTTACAGTTTGTGTACAGGTACGAATCTTAAATTAGCCCTGCATATTCTTCACAAAACAAGGCATTTATTTTATGGTGCTTTTTTTTTTCATTGTATTAAAAAAATTGAAAGGGTCGTTGATAAGTAACTGACGAGTTCAACAGACTTTACAAGAAAAGAAATATTGTTTAAAGTAATAAGGGGCTTTTCTCGGTGTTTACATAGCTTCACCTAGAAAGAGTTAAGCAAAAGATTTAAGCAAACGCTTGACTGCGTCTCGGGTTTGTATAACTCTCGACAATTCTGCTAACTACCCCGGCCTTGCCTATAGATGAGGCTATCTAAATATGATAAAGTCCTCTATTACCTAAATAGAGAGCGTTACGTCATCTCAGAGCTCATAACTTAATTAACATCTGGTGCCTTACAGGAAGGAGCTGCAGTATGTTCGGCAAAAGAGTGCCATTCTTTCAACGTTCGCGACCTTCCTTCACACGAGCTCCATTGTGGCGTGTTTCATATCTTTGACAACCCTGATCATCACAGGAGTCGAACTGAACACGTATAATATTTTCATGGTGCTGGCGTTCATTCGGACAATCCGTCTTTCCGCCTCTTCAAAGTTTGCCGCTGGCGTTAACTTCATCGGTGCCGTAACAGGCTCACTCGCTAGGATACAAACATTTTTGGAACTTGAAGAATCTGTTCAATCTGAAGACACATACAGCAGGAAAAGAACGCGCTCTAAGATACGATCTTTCTTAGATTTGACCGACGCCGAAATGTCGCAGTACCTTTCCGCCGAAGACTTGACGAAGATTTGTAACGACATCAAAGTCGGGAAAAGCGTTCCGCAATACGAGCCCGCACTCATCAGACATCATTCTCTCGATATCCCGGATAACCCTTCCAATGATATCCACGTGACCTTCGAGAACGTGTCCTGTCACTGGGGAGGCGGAAATAAGTCGGTCGCCCTGAGAAACCTTACATTCAGGGCGGCCACCAAAGAACTGACGTTGATCAACGGTCCCGCGGGATGTGGGAAATCCTCCCTGCTGGCGGCTATCCTTGGAGAGGTCCCTCCAACAGAAGGTTACATCTCTTGCGTAGGAAAGATCACGTACGTGCCTCAAATACCATGGATTTTCTCGAACACGCTCCGGGAGAACATTTTGTTTGGCAAACAGTACAACCCGTTCAGGTACCAAGCCATCGTGAACGCTTGCAACTTACAAAAGGACATCGACAAGCTTTCCGACGGCGATCTCACAGTCGTGGGAAATAACGGCTACGGATTAACTGAAGATCAAAAGGCTCGTGTAGGCATCGCGAGAGCGGCTTACTCCGACGCCGATATCTATCTCCTGGACGATCCCTTCTGTGCTGTTGATGCTAGAGTCGCTGAGCAGGTGTTTGGGAAATGCATATGCGGTCTTCTCTCAAAGCGAATCCGGATCCTTGTGAGCCGGCAGTTACAATACGTTGAGAGGGCGGACCAAATCCTGACCATGCGTGCCGGCACCATTATTAATGAAGTAACATCACAGGTCATGGGATACAGGTCCGTGAAGCTTCATTCTCCCGGCGAATCGCGTGAACGTGAAAGAAAATGTCCCAGTAACAAGACGGTGGAGTTTGCCATTGAGGAGGAAATCCAGGAAAAGTACCGCACTCGCACGAACCTGTTTGAAGAAGAGGAGATGATGGGACCCGTGTCATGTACTGTTCTTTGGCAGTACCTCAGGACAGGTGCATGTCTTCCGTTCATTATTGTGTTCGCACTGTTTGCCTTCGTTGTTCAAGGTAAGTAAGCGACAGCGCAGACTGATAATAAATAATTGGCTTCCTTCTTATTTTGTTACGCTCATTCATTTCCTGGTATGCCTACAGTTTCAGCCTTTTTTTTTACACAATAATATATCACGTGATCAATAGACCATATTCGTGTTCCCGGTATTGGACTGGAACTAGCTTGCAGTGGAGGCCCACGAGGGGGAATAAGAGATTGACATCATTTTCAATTGAAACGACTCCCAGCATTAGGCCCGGTTGCAAGCTACTGTTTCAGTCCGATACTAAGAATACGAATATGGTCTATTGACGGGAAAGGTCTGTTTCCTTCAACACAATTATTACACATAAAACTTCGAACGGATCTTTACCCCAAACTGTAAGCAGGTAGTTTGAATTACATACTTTCTACTGGAACTTCAAATAAATTTTTTATAAATATGATACGCTGTGCCAGGCGCTTGAAAAGTGATTACTAACAGGAGAACAAGGGGGAAGCACGTTCCTATTAATAAACATTAGCCTTGCAACGTGTAATTGGGCTAAAATGTATTGTATCCTCCCGGCAAACACATTACACAGTGACGCCAGTCGATAAAGATTACGGTTTTGGAGTAAGCAAGGTTCATGAATCCGCTCTTGCCTAAAGCTGATACGAGTGGACAAATGAAATTGATACGTAAGGTCGCGCAAGTTCAAACTGGCAGTTCTCCTACATCAACAATTGAGCCACTGAATTCTCAGAAAGAGCACTAAAAGAAATTTTAGGTCTTGACCATGGAGCTAAAACGATCACCTTTCTTTATTCTCTTATAGGAGCTATTCTTATCCCAGACATATGGCTTTTACGCATGAGCGAGTCTGCCATTCTGCTGGCCCTGGATCAGACAAGCTGGTACATTTATGCTGCCATGGTAGGCGGAGTCTTCATGCTGTCTATCATGCGCGCGTCTTTTTTCTTTGCCACAACTCTGCGCTCGTCCGAGCGCCTTCATCAGAATATGGTGGTCTCCGTTCTTCAAGCGCCCCTCTCTTTCTTCGACACCAATCCGTTGACCAGCATTTTGAATCGCTTCTCGAAAGACATAGGATGTATGGACGAGCTGCTTCCGAGTGTGTTCTTAGGTGCCATTCAGATGACGTTATTTGCTATCGCAGCGTTCCTCCTCCCCGTGGTCTTCAATCCGTGCGTGCTCTTGATTGGGTTACCGCTGTTCGTTTTGTTTCTCATCTTGTGGGGCTACTCCCTCAAGACCGCGCGCCAAGTCAGGAAACTGGAGATCAGTTGTCGAAAACCGGTGATTTCTCATTTTTCAGAGACGCTGACGGGACTGGTGACTATCAGGACACACAGCATGCAGAAAACATTTACAGAGGAATTCTATGGGTTTGCAATTTAGATTTCAGTTTTAATTACCTAAGATAGATCAACACGGAGCACAAAATGCAAAACGTAGGCTCGAAATACAACTGTTACAAAAGATCTAAAGACGGGAAAACATTCGCCCGATCGCGGGCTACTCGCGAGGCTCGTGCGAGATCTTCCTCCTAATCTACACGTTGTGCATCCATATTTTGAGAGAAAAATGAACTTTTTTATAGTCCATGTTAGCATAATTCTACTATGGCTAACGTTCTATCCTGATTGCCGTTCTCTTATTGGCTACATTAACTTATATTCTGTTTAAAATAGTGAGTAGTCTAGTAATGTGTGATTGTTAACAAAATGGCCAGCGATTCTTTGCGGTTTGGAAGTGTCTGTGAAGAGGATTTAGACAGAAGTTTCGCATAACTAGTAGATTTATACTAAAAAAATTAAATTATTTGCTCTCGATTCCATTCGCGATGGTTGAAATAGCTGTTACGTAAGTTGGTTTGGTGATCTTGAGACTAAGGTATTATTTACCATTTCTGATTCGCCTTTGGACTTGAACTAAATTGCCAGATTTCTTAGTGTTCCTTAATTTCTTTATAGGGGTCCGTAAAACTTACTGGCAATAGGCCAATTTCGATATATTAAAATTCAGCCTAACACAATAGACCTCAGCACGAGGCTCTGGTGAATAAACCCCACAAACTCTGTAGTTATTCCCCAAAGCCTCGTACTGGGGTCTATTGTTTTAGGCTGAATTTTAATATATCGAAATTGGTCTATTCTGTTTGTGCTTTAGTTACCAGGACTCTCACAGTCAAGGATGGTGCACAAACACTTCATGTTGGAGCTGGGTCGGGTTCCGCCTCGACATAGTATGCGTGTTGTTTATGATATCAGTGGCTGCCGGGGCATTTTATGTAAAGTTAGATGCTGGTAAGTTTAAATTTAAGTCGCCGAGAAAAGTGTTAAAATGCATCGTTTATCTACCCTTCTCAAACTCATTAATAATTCATAAGGTCAACTACCAACCACAAGATGTATACCACATAACGTGCATGTGTTTGGATACCCAATGAAAAACAGTATACCACTCTCCAGTGAGAGTGGTATATACCACTAAAATA